AAAATATCGAAATAATACATGCTATTGACTGATTGTAATTTTGATACTACTATTAAAAATAACTCAGTAAATAGAAACCTCACCAACTTCACAAATAGTCAACAGGTTAATATACCATAGTATCTAGAGTTAAATTGCAAGCATTCTCTAATTGATATCTGTAGTATTGATTCTCTTCCCTTATTTTCTTTATTTCTATTAGTAGTTTAAATTCTAATATGTATTCTATAACTTATGCTAAGATCTCAGAATACTTACTACTAAGCATGACTTTTTGAAAACACTGCATTAATCCTAATCAACTTTTACATCTTCCTTTTCTCTTCTGTGATTTATAAACCTGATTGTTGTTATTATATTTCTTAACAGGTATTATAGTTTTCGGATATTAGCTGCTAAAGAAGGAGTAAAATATTAGAATCTGGCAGAAGAAATAAGGTTCAAGAGATAAGTTAAAAGACTTAAAAAAGAGGGAAGAAGAAACAAAAAAGGTGAAAAGGTAGAATGAAAGAAAGATGATAAGAGGAGAGTAGTAAGTAGAAAGAGTGAAGTGGGAAGAGGTGAGTGATAATATAGAGGAGAGAAGGTTAAAGGGACTCAGCTATTATATTATAAGAATGAAGAAATAAGTCCATTTGAAAAGAACTTAATTAAACCTAGACTATTGTTTTCATAATATTTATTTAGCTTTGAAATAAGTTGCTTTTAGTGAGAGCTAAAGAAATATTACATCAGTCACACCTATTAATACTTTAATAACTGATTTATATCAACTAATAGGTATTTTCAGTTTGAATTCAAATGTACCCTGTACTCTACATGAAATATGAAATATTATCATACAAAATTGAGTGTGGGCCAGGGAGCTCAACTCTGGACCAATCAGGAGGCTGGGAAATCCGCAAAGCAGTGTTGTAGTACATATTAGATAGAAAGAATATCAAAATTCAATTTGGCTGTAAGAGGTAAAATCCATACTCTTCTGATGTCTGTATAAGTAGAATATTGGTGTAAGTAAAAAACAAATATGTACTAATACCTGAAAAAGTAAATTCTAGTATTCTGGATGTTAACTATCAATTGTCAAAATTATCCATACTCAATTGAAGTATTTATTCAACTATTTTACTCAGTTGAAAGTGCTATATAATTTAAATTCAATAATACCATTTGTATTATTGAATGATTTGCTTTGCTACTTTTTTCCAAAATGTCTGTTGTTTAGTTTCAAATTTGTCTTTAATTGCTCTGACTCTTGAACCAAGTTTCCATTTTTTTTCTGTTTTTTTCTGTTTTTTTCTGTTTTTTTTTTTCTGCTGGTTGTCAGGGGTAGTGCTCCATATATATTAGTATCAGCTCCTCGGCATCACCCACGAGTGCCGGTATCATATGATACGATAATATTATGATATCTAAGATACGGTAGCTGTGTGTTCTACGGTATATTATCATAAAGTTATTAAGCCCCCTGAATCCTTATCGCGAAACCCCAGCCCTCTGCTGGGAAAATTCAAGCGTAGAGCGCCATTATAATAGAACGCCCGCTTTTGAGGCTCAAGCTCACGTGCTCGGAACCTCGATTCCCATTCTGGCGTTTCAAACTCATCATCACCCTGTGACACCATTAAACCCCTTAAAGCAGTCGCAACTAATAACCTACAAAATGTCCCCCAGCTATGATACAACATGACCTCCGCCTACACTCCTAACGATACATTCGCTCGTTCTTCTATTCATTCCCTCCCGTTCTTTCACTCACCCCGTCCTTGCCTGGTCGGTGGGGTTAGCAAAGGGCAAAAGGGGACATGTCGGTAAATTCACCCACGGCGACCTCCGAAGCCCTCAGGGCTACGACCCTCCGTTTCAATCGAAAATCTTCCTCTAGCGCACCTACCGCCGCAACCAAGGCTGCGCAGGTCAGGCCATCCATCAGGTCGAGCCCCGGAGGGAACGGATCGCTGATAGCTGCGGAGCGGAGTGTTGCTAGGCGGAAACAGGAGAATACGACTGGTCCCATGTCACTCGACCCATCAAACGTTGCTGCAACGCTCGCGGCATCTCGGTACAGCTCTTCGCCGGACAAGCCCTCGGAGAGGGAGGAGGAGGTTATTTCTGTGGCTGCTCGGAGGAAACGCTTTCAAAAGGAACTGTCACAGCTGCCTGGCGGGGGTGAAGGTGGCGGAATCGGGCTACATAAGATATCGCCGGAAAGGAGCCGGACGAATACTCCTGACGCTGCCGTCGATTCCTCTAATATCGATGACATTTCTTCATTGAGGTCACTGTTTGAGAAGAGCTCGAATGTCCCGAAACCGGCTATACATGCCCCGAAGCCGGTGCGGGGGATGGAGAGTGCATCGTTGACGGCTGCCATACTAGCTACCCAGCTCTCTCCTTCTGCTTGCGCTTCTGCACAGAGCTCCAGGAGAGGTAGCCCTGTGCACAGGGCGCCCAATAGGGCCTCCCCTTTCAGAGGGGGTGCTGCGGGGAAGCCTGTTTCTCTGGAAATAGCGCCAAAGTTATCACTTCCTCCACCTTCGCGGGAGTCTACGGTGTCAAGTGTTTCTAGGGAGAGCAATCGGTCTAGATCCTCAATAGATAATGGCAATACAGATACACTTTTAGCTGCTACATTGGCCTCAAGCCCGAAAGCACCGGACAGGCCGCGGCCCCCGCAACCGCCACCGCCACGAAGAAAGGAGATCAGGAAGGATCCCTCGGCAGTGCTTCGTGAAACCTCCTGCGAGCCGAAGGATAGATCTGATGTCGACTCCGGTTCCGACTCCGGTTTACGATATGGCACCGCTCGAACGTCAATGAGTATTAAAACCAGCAAAGCTAGCACCTCCGCCATTTCCCTCCCGCAATTGTTTGCTCCCTCAGGGCCTCCACCCCTCCCTCGGCGTCCATCAATCGCCCAGCTAATATGCGACGATCAGCCAGCCCCAAAAGCCGTCCAACTGTCACCAAGGGCCCACTCAGCCTCCACATCTCCATCCCGTCCATCACCTCTACGCCCAAGCCCTATCCCCCGCCACCGGACCGGCGACTCCATCCTAGCAGCCTCCCTTGCCCCCTCCAGAGTCGTCTCCCCCTCTCCCCGGAAGCCGCCTGTACCGCCCGCGCCCCGCCGCCGCCGATCACTCCCTCCTCTGCCAAAAGGCCTCCGTGAAACAATGCGCAAACCCAGAACACCACCCAAAGAGCCATCCCCTCAACGCAGGAACCCCCACCTCGTAAGGCTCCCCCACAAACACAGCCAAGGGGAACGCAGACGCTGGCGACACTTTGTCACAGAGGCGGAGCGGAAACGCTACGACGGTCTCTGGGCCGCCAACAAAGGCCTCCTACTACCCAGGTGGGCACCAGCACCCCCTCCACCCCGTGGCAGGACCGCAGCCCGTAACTTCGAGGACGAGCAGCACAAATGGAGCTCCGCGCCCACATACGCAGAGCCATTACCCGATTGCGTCGACTCGCTGATCGTGCGGGACATATGGCGGCGTGCTAGACTACCCGACGATCAACTTGCGGAGATCTGGGAGCTCGTGAACCGGGGTGGGGAAGCCAGGTTGAGCCGCGATGAGTTTATCGTGGGCACATGGCTAGTGGATCAATGTCTCAAGGGGCGGAAACTGCCCGCTAGGGTGCAGGACGAGGTCTGGGAGAGCGTCAGGCGGCTGGGTGTGAAGACCCCGGCTGGGAGGAAATGACCGATTGCGAAAGTGGAGGGAAAAAGGTCGGGGAAAGGGATCGTGAGATTTGGGACTGTGATATTTGGAAAAAACCTTTGAGGTTAATCATTCATTGGCTCGAGGAGTTCTTTTCGCCATGCAGTAGCCTTGCCTTAATGATTAAATAGATGAATGGATAAATAATTTATTCCCATCCAATCATCCAGGCCGCGACGTCACTATTGTATCGGCAGTAGAGCCCACACCGGCAATAACAATAATAGCAAATTGCTCCACCCTTAGCCAGCTGTTTTTTAAAAGCACCATACAGGTATCATACAACAATCCCACAATCTGATGCCGTCAGGGCACAACCCCCCCCCCCCGCGCACCAGTCAATACATACACACAATAAAAGCCTAGAGATAATGTGTAAAAAAAAATAAGTTTAGAAAAATATAAAAAAAAACCCCTTATCTTTTTCTACCCCTAGAAAGACAAATAAATAAAACAAAACTACTCACCAGAAAACAACTTGAAATTGTATAGAGATAAAGATAAAAAAAAAACCCCCCCTCGAAAATCCGAATCCATCGTCACACATATCCATCACACCTCTAACCGAAACGAAACCTCACCGCCCCTCCCTCCCCACAAAATAGAAACGGCTATATATCACAATCAAACGTGGAAAAGAGGAAAAGAAAAAAAATAGAAATAAAAGGTAGATTATCCACAGACCCCACGATCCATAACCCCCACCTCCCCTCCCTGTCTTCCTACCTCCCTCAATCACGCATCACCTCTGCCGGTAACCAAATCAGGTGGAGATAGATGAAATATTATGAACTGCGAAGAGGAAAAAAGAGGAGCGAAACGACAATCTCGATCTTACAACATGAGCTCTGGCCAGGAGGAGGAAGAGAGAGGTAACAAATCAGACTGGGCAGCACGGCCATCAATCCGGAGATGGGGTTACTGGAGAAGAGAAGGAAATGGAAGGAGAAAGTGATAAGTTAAGTATGTCATGTGATAGCTGGTTGGTATTGTGGGTTGTCGTTTCTGTCGTGATTCCCCCCGCGCGCAAAGGGAATAATTTTATGTAATAAATGACGTTGGGGGCACAGACCAAGGAGATTGATTCGGGGGTTTTTTTTCTTCGGGAAAAAGGAACTTTCGGATCGGCGGTGTTTTTGCGGGGGGGGGTACTGAGATCTTGAAGAAGATGATGACGATGAAGCTGGAGGGAGTATGAGAAGAGGGTATGATACAAAATACATAAAAAAGGCTTGAAAAGAAACGGTATTGAATCTAGCAGATCCGTCATGCCGAAGCCAGGAAAAGGACGGAAGGGGAAAGGGAAAAAAAAAAAAAAAAAAAGAACAATCGGCGCTTTCCGCCCATGTGGTGAGAGTCTTCCGGTCCAGCTCGAGAGGGAAAAGTAAAGCCAGTGACTTTGCCTCACTTACTCATCATAGACACACACCCAGGCCTCCCAGCGACCGGGATCTCCAATAGCTCGCAATCTGCAGGGTTGACGTGGCGGCAACACGAGCCTCGCCTTCCCAGCAGCGGTGTCAGCCAGCTTCCCCCCTCGCCTCATGTTCATTTCAAGCACGATTACCCGGAGAAAATCTCCATTTTCACGAACTTCCCTCGGTCTCGTCACGGGACTGCCGTTGCAATCGGGGGATGACGGCGAGGGTGATGAGTGCCTGTTCTCGGTGAGGTCGGGTCGGTTGCTATGGTACGTTTGCATCTGAATGGCTCCGGTGCATGGCATGTCCGGGATCGGATTGGTTGGGTTAAGGTATCGGCGGAGAGCAGGCGTAGGGGTGTCTAATGTGGGCGCTGGTCGTTTCTCATCGGTGAATTGGGGCGTTATCGACAAGATGCTACGGGTAAGGTAGTCGTCTGGCTGAATGAGTGGTGTTGATACCGAGATGGATGAGAAGCTTCGAGCCGCCGACTTTAGCACGCGGATGGAAGCTGTCAAGTTTGATTTGAAGTTCAAACGACGGGTTATCCTTTTCAGAGCGTCTTCGGAAAAGAAACCGATTTCCGGCTCGAGGGTTGGCACGTTCGAGACATCGTCATCAGAATCCCACATGAGAGGATGGTCATCTTGGGAGTCTTCTGCCGGTGATGTAAGACCACGAAATCTAGGATCCCCCGCCGAGCGCCGTCGTGACAACGGTGAGGAATAAACGCTGTTCCACGATAATGTCGATTCGTCATCGTTGTCTAGTGATGGAACGGACTCGCTCGAGCTCGACCTAAGCGACAACTGACTATCGCTAGGCGACTTCTCGAGTGGAGAGCTCTCGTAGTGCTCCTCCTCAGGAGGGCCCAGAAGAACTGATAGCGCTGATCGTGTTGAATCTCGTGATGGGTCTCGCGATAATTCCGCCGACTCTAGGGCTAGGTTATCTTCCTCCTCTAGTGGGTCGTCAAAGGCAGGTGGGGGATGAGCTGGTGTTGGCGGCTCAACAAAGATATCAAAAGCAGCTTTTTGCTCTCGCGGAATTCTTTGCTTTCTAGATGCCAGTGGTGGGATAGCTGTTACTGCTAATAAGGCGGCCACTGCTGGTGGAATCCCGGCATGCCGTTGTGTGCCCTGTTTCTCCCTAGTGAGTCCCGAGCTCTTGGTTGGGATAACCATGGGCCTGGAAGAAGCCGAGGGCATGGGCAACAACTTTTTCGAGCAAGCTCTAAATGTAATGCTAGTATCCATTTTCTCGTAGATGGCAGTACTACTATCGTTGAAGTGGTGGCGAAGTAATAGATCGGATTCCGTGAACAAACTTGGCGGTGGATGAAAGGAAGGTTGTGAGGTTGCGATAGCTGTGGTGGTGGAGGTTGTGGTGGTGGAAGGGGAGGCTGCTCGCGGAAGGTGATCCATCTTCGGAGAAGGGCGGATAGATGGGCTATAGATATCGGAATGCTCGGGGGTGGTTCGCTCCTGGTGTCTGGTTGCTGGGCTGGGGTCCTGCTTACCGCAGTCGCAACCAGGATTGATAGGGTAGAGGTGAAATGCGGAATGAAACAGCAGCTGAGTGTTGCCCAAAATGCAAGTTTGTTGGGGTCTGGGGGTCGTTCCCTTCACTTCTGGATTGCCCCTTCTCGCTCGCTCGCTCACACACACACACGCCTCCTTCACGCTTCAACTAGTCTCAGTGTAGAAGTGAAGCTCGTGACCGAATGAATGATCAGTCCCGGCCGTGCACAGACAAGCCAAGTGTCGAGGTATCAAGGTCCCACGCTGAAATCGAAAAAGGGTAAGCACGGCAGCCGGTTCGAACCGGGTAAGAGGCGAGTTGACGGGAGGTGTTCACCCTTCTATGTCTCTCCTGTCTGAGCTGGTTGTGGGCGAGAGTAGGGGGAGCGATTCACTGGCATAAGGGATATATGATAGAGGCCAGGAGGCAATCGGTCGAAACGAGTAAAGAGGGCAGTGACGGCAAGCCTTTTCTATTGATGATGATAACAGGCACCGGTGGGAAGGATAGTATATTTGAGGGAAAGGGGAAATGAGTGGTATGCGAGCTTTCTTCTCTCACTTTCTCTCTCTCTGCTCGACTGATAGCTGAGGATGAGGGCTACGAGCGACACACCCCTAAATGGGTAAAATATATCGGACGACAGATAGGCTGGACACCGTAGCTCTTGGGGGTAGTATGAGGTGAGAGCAGTGTGTGGATGGCTGGGTATATGGATGCACTTGGGTACCGGTGCCGTAGGATGGATGATTGACCCGCAGCAGGAAGCAAGCAGGGACGGACGGTGATAGATAAGTAGCCACTCCGGGGGGGCCGGGGCTTAATGATTTGGGCAGGATTGTTGGCTGGCAGGCTAGCTATCTTGTTTATTTGTCTTTCCGGGAAATGGGTGGGAAACAAACTGTCGCCTTTTTTTCTTTTCTTCGCAAAAGCAGGGCATTCCGAGGCAAGGAACGCACGGCAACGGCGGGAAAAACCAGGGCTTGAAGGTGCCATGATGCTTATGATACCTCTCTAAGGCTCTCTCTTCACACAAACCCCTACTTGTACAACTCGCGGATTGTGAAGACCGGCAATGCACCCACGATGCTAACAAATAGAAATTGCAAGATATCCCTCTCTGGACACGCGAACTTTTGCAGCACGCGCAGGAGTGGGCGAGAAAAAGAAAGCGGAGCTGTACCGAAGTGTACGCGGTACGGTTCTCGTAGGAAGAGAGAAAAACAAACACACAGCAATTTTGGATTATTGAAGCACGAGAAAAGCAAAAACAAAAAAAGCCGCTCCATGGCTGCTCTCCCAACCCATGCTTGGGCTGTTTGCCTTGCCCGCCTGGTTTTCCCTCGCGGGAAGGGTCTCGGGATACTCAATGAGGTATGATGAGAACCCATTCAACCAGACATCTCACCAGTCGTGGGATCAATCCCCATGGACGCGGGATGGGTGAGATAGGGATTCAGGGCAATGATACGACGGTAACCTTGCGGTTCCCCAAAGCGGTACAGGTCCTTCCCTTTCTTCACCTAGCTCGAACTCCCCGACAAGAATAGACTTGGTCCCCCAAATCCAATCTCTTTTCACCGTCTTCCGTAAGCGCCTCGAAAATACTCATCTATCGGGGAGCGGCGAAATCTCTTGAAATCTTAACCGTTTGAGCCGTGAAGCCTCCTTGAGCTTTCAACGGAGCAGGGTACAGTACTTGCTGGTAGAGATACAAGTACAACGTACAGTATGATACAAGTAATACCGGTAGCACGAGTAGCACATCGAAGAGCCAAGACTAAATTAGCAATGGTCCAAAAAGATAAAACCACCTCCGGGCATCCTGTTTACGAGCCCGAGTGACCACAGCAGAGTCCCCCCGCCGCCAAGCAGGGTTAGTTGAGAGAGAGGGAAAAAAAGATAAAAGAAATTAAGAGGATCAACTTAGCGACCCAATAACGGTGACAACAAGCCCACAGCAAAGTGGGGGAAGTTTTTCCTGTGAACGGAAGAGAGCAGGGAGGCGGGGAGGAAAGCAGAGCAGAGAAGAGAAAGAAGGAAAAAAACAAAAACAAAAAAAACATCCCACTGCACACACCAGGGAGGAAAGAGAAGGCCGGTTGATCTCTCTGGAGCAGGCTACCCAATCAAACCCGATTTATGCATGCTTATCAGTTATCCGCTATCTGGCTGGTCCTCCACACCCTCACACAAGGTGAGCACCTTGGCCCGCAGTAGATTACTCTGGGCCCTCTGCCCAAATTATGTGGGTAAAATTCCCTTCGAGAAGATTTCCGTGGTGTTGGTGGGGTGGTAGGTATACCTGGAACCATGCCAGTGGGTTGTAATCTAGAGTACCGGTACT